GGCCGGAGAGCCCTGCCGCAATTGGGATTGGGGGGCTGATTAGGGGCGAGGCCAGCCATGGGGAGGGGCTGTGGGTGGTGGGCCGGCCAGCCCCACCCCCAAATGGGGTGGGGGGTGCCGATTGGGGGCCAGCGGCCTGGGGGAGGGGCCATGGGTAGTTGGCTGGCTGGCCCTGCCCCTGATTGAGGTGCAGGGGGTGGGGGAGGCGATCTGGAGTGGGGCTGGGTCAGGGGAGGGGCTGCAGGAGGTTGGCCATCCAGCCCCACCCCCTATTGGGGTGGGGGATGTGATCAGGGGTGGGGCCGGCTCGGGGAATGGGTTGTGGGCCTATCGTGGTGGGGTGGGCTGACCAGGGGTGGGGCTGGTGGGGGGGAAGGGTGGGGAAGAGGGGTTGGGGGGGGCATTTGGCCAGCTGCCCTGCCCTTCATTAGGGTAGGAGAGTCTGATCAGGGGCGGGCCGCCCAGGGGGAGGGGCCGAGGGAGGTTGGCTGGCTGGCCCCACCCCCTGATTGCCGGTTCGCTGACCACAGTGGGCATCATAGCGACCTATCATTCGGTCATTTGGTCGTTATGGTCGTTATGGCATTAAGGTCACTGGCTTTTTATATAGAGATATTATATTATATTATATTATATTATATTATATTTATTATATTATATTTATTATGTTATTTTTTCACTCTCTGAGAGATAGAAATTCCATTATTTGTGGCCAAAGGCATCCTAACCACAGCACTCTGTGACCAGGCCATTCTGCTGATGGCAAAAGGCCAGGGGGCCAGACTGTGTGTTCTCGCTCTCTGCACTTAGTGATTCTGGGTAGAATTCGGCTGAGACCCAACCTGACACCTTCAGACCAAGCTGCTATAAATGAAAACCTTGCCCCTTGACATTTCCTCATCTCCCCATTCCCAGGGGCCATAACAAAAAATAAATAAATAAATAATAAAAGTGATGACTACGGCCAGTGGTTCCTGGTGGTCCAGTCCCAGGCTCCCTGTGTGTGCCACACGACCCTGTGCCTGCCTGACCCCTGACACCATTTCTGTGCCCCCCCCCCCCTTAGGGCTCCTCCTGGAGGATTTCTCAGGGGAGTGGGCACGACTGGAGCTCTGAGCTCTAAGCGCGGTTCTGTCAGGCCCAGGCCCGGCCTCAGCCGCTGCTCCAGCCTCCACCCCCTGACGGGTCTCCTCTGGAGCAGGGCAGGGGTCCCAGCTCTACTACCAGCTCACCGTGTGTCCCCACTCCCCCACCCCCCACCCCTGCACCGGTCTGGTTGGATGTCTCCTGAGGCTCCTCTGTCCCAGCAGCCTGTCAGGACGCTGACACAAACCCCATTATTCAGGCAAATGTACTACAGCGGCCCCCCCCCACACACACCACACAACACACACCACACACACACACACAGGCCCGCTTTCCCCAAAGCCTCAGGGGTGTGCTCAAGCGCAGGGAGAAAAGGTCAAGATGGGGGTTGGATCAGTTCTCCCCCACATAACCCTCTCCCCCCAGACCCCACCTGCAGTGGCCAGGGCCTGGTTTTTACCAAATGGCGGGCTCTTCACATGAAGGCGAATGGTTGCCTTGTCTCACTTGCACAGGCGGCTTCCTGCAGTGGTGGGAGCCCTGGATGCGGGGCCGGGGGGAGGGTCAGGGAACACCCAAGCAGGCTGGGGTTCTGATGGGCAGGTGGGCAGAGGAGAGGAACCCGAAGTTTGCTGCCAGCACAGGAGGTGTCATGGATGGGTGTGTGCCGCAGAGGGGACGCCCTGTGCCTGTGGCAGATCCTCAGAGCTCCCCTCATGGAGCTCCCGCTCCCATGCTAGCCACTCACCCCCTCTCCCAGCCCCTGCCTGAGCTCAGAGCCTCTCCAGGCCCGGGCCCAGCTGGGGCTGTGGAAGTAGGTGGCTCCCGGGACCAAGATGGGGGCAGATGGGTGGGATGAAGACAAAACCAGTTCAGCAGAGCCAAGCGGGACTCCGGCCAGGGTCCCGGTCTGCGTCCTCCCAGGGGGTGGGCAGGCAGCAGGGGCCCAGGGAGGCCCAGGCTTGCGGCCCCTCCTCCAGGTCCAGTCCCAGCTGACAGAGACCAAGAAGCTGTTTGCTCACTGCCAGGGTGGGGGTGGGGGTAAACTTTCTTCTGAAGACAATAAAGTTGCTGAGGGCAGAAGGCGGCATTTAACCCTCAGGGCAGCATTTAACCCCCGGTGCCCCGGGCAGCGCTGGCCGGCTCCCGCTGGCTCCCGGAAGCCGCCCTCAGAAGCTGTATTTCGGGGCCTCGGGTGCTGACCGGTCAGTCCTGAGGCACAGAGAGCCCCGTCCTGGTGGGTACAGTGCCTGGTTCTGCTGCTGCTGATTGGCTGTGTGTGAGCAAGGCAACGGCTCTGAGCCTCGGTTTCAACATCTGAAAAATGGGGAGTTAACCCGTAATTTGGGGGGAAGTTTAATGACCCCCCCAAAAAAAGCAGTGGAAGCACATAGTCAGCCCTCAGGATTCCTGAGCTCGGTGAACAAATGCGAGAGAAGCAGGAGGAAGCCGAGCGAGCTGCTTTGCCCAGAGGAGTGGGCAGTGGGTCCCCCCCCCCCAGCACACACACACACACACACACACACACACACACACTCACACCCTTTCCCCATCACACCCTCCCACCTCTACACCCCACTCACAGGGCTCACAGCTTCCAAGAGGGCACAGCAGGTCTGTGGCCTCGCTCTTCAGGAGAGAGGACCCTCCATCCAGCCTACCTCTCTCCCACCCTGCGCTGCAGATCCAGCATCCCGCAAGGGGGACTGACGCGCCCCCCTCGGCCCGCCCCCCCCCACTGCCCCCAGCCAGAGCCCCTCCAGTTGGCCAAGCAAAGATAAGGGCTCTGGGCCCCTTGCAGGAGGGACAGACCCTGGCCCACCTCAGGCAGCAAGCCCTGATCTACGCAGAGCGAGAGGGTGGCCAGGACCCTGCCTTCTCTCAGCCCCAAGTGTGGCCCCTCGCAGCCCCGCCCCTCCCTCCTTTCAGCCCAGGCCAGGGCTGGGGGAGACAAGGGCCATTCCAGCCTCTTCCTGGCCTGGAGGACCCCCTGCCACTCTCCCGCAGCTCTGCCAGCCAATGATCCCCTTCCTTTTAGGCTCAGCTCAAAGCCACCTCCCCCAGGAAGCCTCCCTTGACAGCCCCCGGCCCCTGCGACCGGAACCCCCTTGAGTATCGATGGCTGTGCCACTCACTCACTGCACAGACACTGGGGCCATGTCAGTTTCCTGGTATTTTTATTACCCACTCCCAGGGGCACCTCTGGCTCCGCACTCCCAGCACCATGCCAGGCCCGGGTGGCAGAGAGCACTGGACTGTGAGTGGCCTCGGACAGTCACTGCCATTCTGTCAGGTCTGCTCTGGGAATGCTGGGATGGGGGCAGGGCGTGCCTTCCCTGTGGGCTGTGAACACTGGGGGCAGCCAGGTGCCCCCCGTCCTGTAGTGGCCGAGTGGCTGGGCACAGGAACAGAGGGGCCTGAGGAGGAAGCACCCCCGGGGGGGCGGCGGGGGGCAGAGAGCTCACTGCACTCTGGGAGCGGTGCCTCCCCTCCCCGACCTTGGACTCGGAATGCCAGCAGACTCCCCCTCCCCAGCGCAGGGTCTGCTGGGCCGGGGCAGCCGGAGGGAGGCCTGGCCCGCCCTCAGACGGGGTGCACAAACTGGTAGACGAGGCGCTGGGAGATGTCCGGCTTCCGGATGATGCCCTTCTTGTAATACTGGCGGATGGAGCGGCTCAGCTTGTCATAGTTCATGGCGGGGCGGTTCTTCCGGATGCCCCACAGCCGGGCCACCTGGGCGGAGTCCTCAATTTTGAAGATGCCTGGGGAGGGGCAGGAGGCCCAGAGACAGCCAGCGGTGCAAGCGGGGAACAGCCCAGCCGGAGGGAGAAAGACCAAGAACTGCGGTCAGTTCCTCAGAAAGCCACGGTCAGCGGGCCACAATACCTACTCCTGGGTGTGCGGGGGTTAAAGAAATGTGTACAAGGAGCGTGCACAGGGCTCAGTATGTGGTAAATAATGCCCTGGGGTCAGAGCCTCCCGGGGCAGGGTGAGCCTGGGTACCCTAGGGGGTTATGTGGGAGCTGAGGACCTGCCCTTGCCAGCCTCTGCTCCTACTGTGGGGTGTGCACACCTTACACAGAAGCCGCGCGGCTGTGACGGTGCCCACAGCTCATTGGCAGGTCACCCCACCCCATCGCCCGCCATGCCACCCCCGCCACCGGCAGGTCCCTGGCCTGAGAGACCGCTTTGCCGTCCTCAGACACCAGCCCACACAGCCCCGCTGGCAGACTTAACCCAGGAGAGGTGGTGCAAAGGGTGGGTGTGGAGCTGGGCCGCCCTGGGTTGAGTCCTGGCCCTGCCCTTGTCTACCAGACGCTGTCTGAGCCCTTTCTCCTGCCTGAGAGGGGCTGGAGCCTGGAGGACGTTCCCTCAGGCAGAACAATTGCATTGTTAATACTCCCCGTTCTCATTCTTAACCCTCGGGGCAGGCCCAGGTCAGCACACCCGCTTCAGGCAGCTCTCCCAGCTCACCCCCTCCTTGATCTCCCTTCCTTCAAACTCTACCATGGGACCAGCTCCCCAGAGGCACGAGGGATCAGCAGAGCAGCTACCACACTCTGTCTTAAATATACACGGAGCAGCATCACGACTGTGCAGGAACTTCTCTTCCACCCCTTCTAGCCCCTTCTCCTCCTCCACACTCAGCCCGAGTCACCTCCTCCATGAAGTCCTCCTGGACCTGGGCACAGCTGCCCCCACGGTTCTGCTGCAGCCTGACATGCATTTCACTGCTAGTTCCCATACAAGACTGTAGGTCCCTCGAGGACGGGGTGCAGCTGAGTCCTCCCTGAACCCTCAGGACACAGTCATTCTTTGTAATGTCCACTGAGCAAGTGTGGGACCAGAGGAGGTGCTCAGCGAAGGTGTGCTGGGTGAGTGAACCTGAAGGCTGAGGTCAGGCACCCATCGCTACTAATGACAAACTGGGGCCCCGAACCCAGGTTTCTTGGCTCGGAGCCTTTGCCAACACGCGCGCGCACACACACACAAACACACACGTACACACGTACGTACATACACGTACGCACACACGCACACACGCGCGCGCACGCGCGCGCGCGCACACACACACCATGTAGCCTGCGCTGCCCAGCATGGTAGCCTCCAGCCACAGGTTGCTCTTGACCACTTGAAATGCGGCAAGTCCGAGCTTGGGGGGGGCTGTCAGTGTAAACTACACACCGATCTTAAAGTCTTAGTAAAATGTCCCGTTAATATATTTTATATTGGTTATGTGTTGAAATTATAATGTATGACATTGAGTTAAACAAAAGTCTTATTAAAATGGATTTCACCTGTTTAGAGTGTGTTTTAATGTGGCCTCTCGAGAACCTGATCTCACACCGTGGCTCACACAGTGCTGCTCACTGGCCACCCTCAGTCTCCCTGTGAAGCTGTGATGTTTTGAGGGCAAAGACTGTGTCCCATTCTCAGCAGAATTTCAAGCGCCTGCTATGACTCGGGCGCTGGGGACCCTGAACAAGACAAGCCTGGCGGGCGACACAGACAGACATGGGCACACACCGACTCCGACCCTGAGCAGGTCAGTGACAGCGGCTGTCTGGCATTCAGGGCACAGGGCGGGGGGCAGCTGCACCCCTCTGCCCAGTCCCACTCCTCCCGGGGCCCAGGCCGGGGAACCAGGCAGCCCCCGCCCTCAGCGCCCTCAGCGCCCTCAGCGCACTCGCTGCGCCAGCCCCGCTCACCCTTCTCCTTGTTGAGCCACCGGATGAAGCGGCCGTAGCTGTGGGGCTTCAGCAGCAGCTCCTTGAGGAACTGCCACAGGTGGATGGGCTGCCCTGAGCAGGACGAGTCCACTTCGCTGTCCGTCCAGCTCTCCTCGCTGGTCGAGGCTGGGCGGCCAGGGAGGGTGGTGGTGAGTGGGGACCTGCGGCCACCCCTCAACCTCAGACCACAGAGCCCGGCCCTCCCTGCCCGGCCCTGCTCACCACAGAAGTGGACGGCCCCGGCGGAGGTCCTCTCTTTCATCCAGGCCGCTGCAGGACAAGGAGAGGAGGCTGGGACCCAAGAGAGGCCTTGGGGGGGGGGCATTTGGTGGGACTGTGGGCCCAGAGGCCCAGGCGTCCCGGTGGTCCCCTCCCCCCTGCAGTCTGGAGCTGCTTCAGGGAAGGGAGTTGGGGTTTCGGCGCTGGGAGGGGCCTAAAGAGGCCCAGGGGAAGGAGAGTGGCAGTGGAGCCTGGCTCCTCTGTGAAATGGGGTCGGGACACCCCCTCCCGGATCTCGCAAGGATCGTAGGTGATGAAGTCTGCACAGCGCCTTGCTCAGTGTCCGGCATAATCAGCACCCCTACCTTCCAGCTGCCAGGTCCCCCGGCACTTCCACCCTCCTGCTCTGCCCCCCACTTCCCGCACCCTGTCCCCCGACCTCAGACCAGGCAGTGGGGAAGTGAGAGCAGCCAGCTTCCACCCCCATCACCACTGGCACGCAGCCTGGCACTGACCACTGCCCTTGGCAGTCACTGGCAAGCAGCCTGGCGGGCAGGACACTGGGCTCTGCCGGTTATATGAGTAGGTCCTTCCCTTATTCATCCGGCCCCTCAGGTCCGGCCTTGACCTACGGAGCAAGCGCTGCCTCCAACGCGGTGGGCTCTGTGCAGGGCACAGCGTGGGTGCCCCTGAGAGGAGATGGGGTTGGCATGCAGCCTTGAGAAAGAATAGGGCAGCCGAGTGGATCCCGATGGGAACAAGCTGCAGGTACACTGTCAAGTACAGAACAGTGTATACGCGGAGACTGTTCATGTTTAAAAGGGTAAAACCATGCGTATGTATTGGCTTGTATCTGCATAGACTTTCCCTGCCCAGATGCCCAAGAAACTGGGAACAGTGGGTGCCTCCAGGGAGGGGGATCGGGAAGCCGGGCTCAGGAGTGGGAGGGGAATTACCTTTTATGATGTACTATTCCTATGGTCTTTTAAAAAGTGTATACAATTATCGCCTCATTACTTCTTCAATGAAAAACAGCAACAAACAAATGAATAAAATTTTAAAAGGGCAAGGAAGGCCCGGCCGGCATGGCTCAGTGGTTGAGCATCGACCTATGCACCGGGAGGTCACGGTTTGATTCCCAATCAGGGTACATGCTCCGGCTGTGGGCTCAGTCCCAGTGCAGGGCATGCAGGAGGCAGCCAGTCAATCATTCTCTCTCATCAGTGATGTTTCTGTCTCCCTCTTTCCTTCTCCCTTCCTCTCTGAAATCAGTAAAAACACTTTTTTTTTAAAGGACATCATAGCACCCACCGTCTATCGGCTATGATGTCTCACGTCCTCTCGGTCTAACTTCTACCTCTAACTTCCTGCGTGCTCTGTCCAAGTCTCTGGGCCCGGCCAGGGCCGGGAGGCGTGGGGCTCCGAGGAGGCAGGGCACTTGGGGCTGGATTCAGAGCAGAGCCCAGCGAGAGCAGCCTCCCAGCGGGCATCCTGGCCTGAGAGTCCCATCGGGGTCCCTGGCTTGGAGCCCGGAGGGGCTGCCTCTGCCCACACCATGTCCCACCTGATTTCCAGATGTCCAGGTGGGCGTGCAGCACCTCCCCGCCCAGGGGCGAGCGCTGGCGGAACTGCTCCTCCGACATGGCACACAGCTCCTTGCCCCCCAGCTCCTGGAAGGCCTTGCCCACGGGGGGCAGCCGGTACTGGTGCTCCGTCCACAGCAGCCACTTCTGCACGTTGCCTGGACTCCAGTCCATGGGGTCTGGGCAAGAGACACTCCCTCAGCCCAGGGCCGCTGAGGGCACTACCGGAATGCGGCCCCTAGCGCGCCTGGGGAACTGGGAGCTTGTGGCCCAGGACCATGAACTCCGGGGTGGGGGGCAGGACAGGCCAGGCCCTCTTGAGGGGCCCTGCTAAGGGGGTCCCCAGGAAGAGAGTGAGGTGAGAGGGAGGGACCTCTGTACCTCCCACTTCATCCAGACCTTGGGTTCCCCCAGACACCCAGCCCCTCCAAAGGGCCTTTTGGGGAGCTACAGCCCTGGAACATGTGAGCTCCTTCCCCAAACCCCGCAAGGAACCAGAGAAAAACCCACCCAGAAATTAATCTTATAACCCCAACCTCCAACCCCTACCATATTTTACAGATGAGGAAGCTGAGGCACAGGGAGTTCCATCTCCTTTCCCAACACCTAACAAGGGGCTGGGTGCATAGTAGCTGCTCAGTGCACATGCATCGAATGAATGAATGAATGAATGAATGAATGAATGGCAAGTGACAGGGTGGCCAGGGGCAGCTACAGGATTCAGCGGCGGGAGGGCATCATGGCTGCTGTGGGGCGAGCCTGGCAGGGCACATGGGCGGAGGCCAGGCCGGTGAGCATGGTCACGGTGGGGTTCCAAGTGAACACTGTGGCCTCAGCGGGTGCCCCAGCTGGGTGACCGGAGGCTGGGCCGCCCCCACTTGATAAACCCGTTTTCCTCTCGAGGGTCAAAGCAATTTGTTCCTGTCCCCATTGTTCCGAGGGCAGGCCCCTCCCTCCGCAGCCCAGTGCGGGAGCGAAGGCACCGTGGGAGACCTCCCTGGGAGGCTGGCCTGGGCGTTGGGCAAATGGAGAGCTGGGCATTGGTAGGAGCTACCTTAAGGGGGTACCAGTTGGGGGTCAGGGCATGGCCCAGAGGACTGCTAGGAGGAGGGGCTGGCCTGAGGGATGCCTGGCGGCCCTTGTGGGAAAGCAGCACCAAGTGGGATGCTCATATGCCAGGGCCAAGGACCGAGGAGATGGGGCAGGCCTGCCAGAGCTGCAGGGATGCGGGAGGGACAGGGCTGGAGAGCCGCAGCCCCTCCCCCACAGCGTCAGCTCCAGGGCCTCACCCTCCAGGCCCTGGCAGACCCTCTCAGGCCAGGCCTCCTGATGTTCCCTCCTCATCAGAGCCCCCGTCACCACGGGACCAGGGACACTCACGTATTTATCTACGACGTTTCCCTCACTATAATGTCAGCTTCATAAATGAAGAAGCGTTTGTGTTGCTCACCACTCAATTCCCCGGTGCCAGAGCAGGGCCTATTAAGTTGTTGTTTCCTGAGCATCTATTATGTACAAGGTGCCATCCTAGGACCTGGGACGTGGCAGTGAACACAACAAATGAAATCATGTCCCCTGGGTGTGTACATGCCAGTGGGGGAGAAAGATAGTGAACAAGATAAAGAAATAAGACAGGCAGCATAGAAGATGTTATGTGCCGTGAGAGAAATAAAGCAGACGGAGGAATGGAGGTCGGGATGTGAGCAGCAGAGGGGTCAGGAATGGCCTCATTAGGTTGGGGCCATTTGAGTTAAGACATGAAGGAGGTGAGGGATGAGCCAAGTAGATATTTGGGGGCAGCGTGTTCAAGGTTGAGGGACTACCAGCAGGTGCAAAGGTCCTGAGGTGAGTATTGTGGGAACAGCAAGGAGGCAGGTGTGGCTGAGGAGAGAGCGGAGATGAGTCCGAGAGGAAGTGGTGGGCCAGATGGTGTAGAGCTCAAATTCACTTCATCCGGCACCTACCAGGGCGGACTCCGGGCTGGTGCAGCTGGGCATGGGGCGCAACCACCCCAGCCTCCGCTCACAGGCTCACAGCTGTGTGTGCCGGGCTGCCCGTGTGGAGAAGCACCAGTCTTCCTGGGGCTGCCTGAGGCCCAGCCAGGGTGCCCCCCCCGCCCCCCGTGACCGCAGCCGGCTGCCCCCACCTTGCGGAGCTGGGCGGCGGAGGGGCTCACCTGCCGTGATGTTGAGCAGCTTGCAGGCCGTCTCGATGTCCTTGAGCACCTCGCCCACCACCATGGACTGCACCTGCTCCAGCGAGTGCTCCTCCAGGCTCAGCCCTCCCGGCGCCAAGTCCAGGCTGCCCCCGGGCGCTTGGCTGTCGATGACTGGGCACTGCTCGGGCTCCTCAGGCGGCTCGTCCCGACTGCTGGGCCCCGGGGCCTTGGCGGCCAGCTGCTGTTGTCGGGGTACAGCATGTCCAAGCAGGAGAGGTAGAAGGTGGGCAGGCCCTGCTCGGGCGTGGCCGGTGGGCTGGGGCTCCAGTCCCCTCTGTCGGGCCCCGCCACCCCGGCTGTCGCCTTCTCGGGGCCTGTCCGCAGCACAGTGTTGGGGGGCAGAAGGAGGCGGCTGGGGGGCAGGCTGCTCAGGCTGGGGCTGGCGCTGCCCATGCCGCTGCTGCTCGGGCCAGCGGCTGCGTCTACAGAAATAAGAGAGGGAGTCAGGCCGGCTGCTTCCCCACCCCCATGGGGCCGCTAAGCTGGTTACAGGGATGAGGGGCCCAGTGGGCAGTGGCTGGGCCTGGGAGACAGTCGGCTTCTGGGTCACTGGGCAGCTAGGACGGGGCTGGGAAAGACAGTGGGGGGGGGGCGTTGGGGCAGGATAGGACGCGGCAGCCCCCTCACTCCCAAGGAGCCAGGCTGCGGGCAGCGCAAGTCTTTACGCGCGTGGGTTGCTTAAAACCGCCTTCTGCTTCTTGACCTCCTTCAGGCCTCACAGCGGAAGGCACGATAGTCCCATTTGCCAGATGAGCAAACTGAGACCTAGACAAGGAGCCGTTAATGTCTAGCCCCCTGTTTCCCCTCCGGCCCACACCCAGCTCCCAGACCACTGTCCTGTGGAGGAAGTTCCTTCTGAGAGCTGACCTAGATCTTTCCTGCTCTA